CAGGTAACATCCATATTATCATCCACCTCCTGCTCTTCCTCCTCCTCCTCATCTTGATCAACAAACTGAAATGATTCTTTATTCTTCTCTCAGGAATCTCCAGACACGAACATCTCATCTAGCTGCCATGACAATGAGAGAACGTCCTGTAAGGAGGAAGAGCAGGAGAAGAGCGCAGATCCAAAGAAGCATTCACTGTCCAAAGGTGTGTGTGTCTGTGTCTGTGAGTGTGTGTGTCTGTGTGTGTGTGTGTGTTGTGATTGATGTCTCATAAAAGAGAAACAAGAGAAAACAAATAAAATGTAATAAAGTTGAATTCTGTGCCACTATTCAGATGCAGTTCTCTTGGGTTGTTTTGATATTGCAGTGCGCTCTTTTGCGTTATTATTTTTATTGTCTCGTAATTCACACCGCCCTCCTGTGTCGCTTTCTTAGAGTCCAGCGTGGAATACACCGACTCCACCGGCATAGACCTGCACCAGTTTATCATCGACACCCTCAACAGCAACCCCAGAGACCGAATGATGCTGCTTAAACTGGAGCAGGACATGACTGGCTTCATCACCAGCAATAGGTGTGTGTCCATGTCTGCGTGTGGAGCAGATTTCATAACCCTATTGTGCTATCTACCTTTTAAATGTGCTGCAGTAAAACATATACACGTTAAACCTACAAAATATAACAATTATTTTGTGTTAATTGAAAAAATGTTTTTGTTTAGCTCACTTACTACAATTGAGTCCAAACAGCTCATTTAGAAAACGGATCAATATATTGATCTGGTTACGTTAGTGTGGGTGTGTTTACACCACATGGGCTGAAACTGGATTCAAACCACAAAAATAAAATACCTACAAGTCTCACTTTACCTCCTTTTCTCTCCCTCCCTTTCACCTTCCTCCCTCCCACTTTCATCACTCCCTCCTATCTTCCTCTCTGCCTTCCTCCTCCTTTCTACTTCCACTCCTCCCTTTTCATCCCACCTCTCTCTCCCCCTATTTCTATCACTCTCAGCTCCTTTAAGAAGTTCCCTCAGATGTCGTCCTACCACCGTATGCTGGTCCATCGGGTGGCGGCCTACTTTGGCATGGAGCACAATGTAGACCAGACCGGCAAGTCTGTCATCATCAACAGGACCAGCAGCACACGCATGTAAGCATCTATAATGAATCTGGGAGTGTACGCATGTGAATCCTCGCGTGTTCTTGTGAACTTACAATGGTTGTTACTTTGTCTGCTAAGACCGGAGCAGCATTTTTTGGAGGAGGTGCAGGACAAGACAGATGAAATCCACTGCTGGAAAAGTATCTTGAAGAGGGACAGCAGCACAGATGATCAGGTTTGTCGGTGCTCCTATATTTATAGTTACCCGTCTCTAAAGACTTCTCTCTCGCGCTTGACATTTATTGCATGCCGTCAGCAAATTGACTCGTTCTCGTTACTCGCTTTGCAGACCCGAAACCACCCCTTTCGGGAGAAGCAAAGCAAGTCAGTGGAGGAGAGAGAGGAGGAGTACCAAAGAGCACGAGACCGAATCTTTAACCAAGAGGTGAGACAAGGAGACAGAAAGAGACAGGGATATACAAGACAGAGACAAAGAGGAGACCTGCTAATTTCTCTGCTCTTGTGTTACAGCCTCTCTGCACCCAGGAGAGCGCCCATGCAGAAACCAGGTAACCTTGCCTTTAGTGCATTTTCTCCTCGTGCCTTTTCAACTTCTTATATTTCGAAGAGAACATTAATATATGCCTCTCTGTGTATGTATGTGTGTGTGTTTCTGCAGGGCTGTAGAGGAGTACAACCCATATGCTGAAACCCAGAGGAGAAGACAGCAATTTAGGTAGAGCTCTGTCATTTATCATCTTAATCTGATCAGCCTGGCCGCCACAGACCTTGTCAGAGTCTGCAGTAGAAACAGAAAGAAGCCCTTTATTTGTGTGTGTTTGTCAGTGTGTAGGCTTTTTCTGCAATTCTAAAACATCAGTTAACTGAAGGAAAGTCTTTGCAGATAATTAAAGTCAATGAATGTCATGTAAAACCCTCAGAGCGTCATTGTGCCGCAATCAAATCACCTTTGAATGAGGTTGTAGGATAATTCTGGAGGTGCCCCACAGGAGGAGCCGCGACAGCTCAGGCTCCAGTTGGACGGGCAGCAGCAGGCAGAGCAGCACCGACACCGACTGTCGCTATGGCAACGACCCCCAACCCTGGAGCAGCACAGACTCTGATTCCTCCTACCAGTGGACAAGTCCCGCCCAAAAACCCCGTCAACCCGCCAACCTCAGCTGGGAGGGACGCGGTTCAGGTGCGTCCTCAGAATAAAAATGTCGAGACTTTTTCATCACCTCTTATTTCACACATTGGATGTGTAAATTCAGAGAGCGAGACTTCTCCATTACTGCGAGCCAGCGAACTTATCCGCAGACTTCATTACACCGCCTCAACTCGGGAAAATCACTGTATATAAATGAGCTCGTTTTTTTTTTAATCAGCAGCATCTAATTAACAAAAAAGCAGTGGAAGTTCTTCTGGTGTGAAAATTGAACCCAATCCTCGAATGTTCACACCATAGCTGTAAATTTTCACACAACACCTCCAGACTTCATCGCATATTCAGGAGCAGGAACACATCATCGCTGAGGGACTGCACTCAGTGTGTTTGAGCACCGAGAGGGGTGGAGTGTGAGGTTCATCAGACTGAGATGTTTTAAAGTGAATCTGTCGTGTGTTGTGATAATAAAGCTCCCCCTCTCCTCTCTTTCATTCTCTGCTATGTCTCTCAGGCTCCATTTCTCTGTTCAGACTGCCACCTGCCTGTCCCCACCCCCCGTCTCCGCCCATTGTAGAAGAGCCGGCTCACAGCTCTGTCTACATCATTGAGAATGGGATCCCACCCGGCAGCATATTAGTGAACCCACAAACTGGTAAATAACACACATATACGCTCACACACATACATATAAATACAAGTGAGGTTTTTATATACACCACACTTATCACACTCGACCCTCCCTCCTCTCAGGGCAGCCATTCCTGAACCCTGACGGCTCACCCGCTGTGTACAACCCTCCAGAAACTCAGCAGCCAATCAGGAGCCAGACTCAGATGCAGGGCTCTCTGCCTCAGCCGCAGCAACAGCAGCAGGTAGCGCACAGACAGCAGGAAGTGTGTGACATGCAGGATATGTTCACGCATGTACGTAGACACACACGTCAGTGTTCCTTTATCTGTCTCCACATGTGTGTCTCCCTCAGGTGGTTCAATACTCGTCTGTCTCTTACTCAGCTCCACAGATGTTGCCTGTCACTCCCTCACAGCCGTACTCGTCAGTATGTATCGCTGCACAAGCCCACGACCGCTTTACATATGTGTGTGTTATGCAGAAGACGTGCGTGTGTGTGTATGTGTGTGTGTTTTGACCTTTTTTCTTTGACCGACAGATAGAGGACCTCTCTTCGCAGTTCGCTCACATGACAGGAAGCTGTCAGTCAACTGGTGAAGCCCCATCTCTCTACCCTCCCAGTCAGAGTTACATCTATGCAGCTCCTCCCCCACCTCCCCTCCAAAACCCCCCCAGCTACTGCCAGCCCTCACCTCAGGTAGGGAGACGTGCAACAAACACGATCGTTATTTTTTCACTTCTTCGCTGAGTCCTGACATAAAACGATCATCTGGTGACTGATGTGATGCTGTTTTATGAAGGCTGCATTGATCGAGCATTGATCCCGGCACCGAAATCCTGCTGTTAAAGGGAAGAATTTAATCCTACGAGGAGTCATATTTTTGATTATAATATATTTCCCTGTAGGTGTCAGTGTTTTACTACGGCCAGTACCCTACCTCAGTTCAGCACGGATGCAGGCCTGTCTCACCCAGCCAGCAAATCCACAGCCAAGTAGCACAACCAACAGGTACTTTCCCCCATCTGTGTGTGTGTGTGTGTGTGTGTGTGTGTGTGTGTGTATGAGAAAGGCACAGACTGTGGCAGTAGAGGAGGGGGCCGTTACACTGTCAGAGATGTAGTCTGAGGGTCTCACAGTGAACCGGTCTCTTTTCCTGCTGCTTCTTTTCTGCGCAGGGATAAAGACCAAAAAGACGATCACACCTCAACACCGTGTTAGATTTGACAGTAAATCACAAACTGCTGCGTCCTCACATCTCAGTCAACACCTTCTTAGGCACCAGTATCTGTGAAAACAACTCAGAGCAAGGTTTTTTTTGTTGTTGCTGTTATGATTGATGTTGACAATAAAGATATATACCCAACCAAATCCACTACTGTTATATAAATCATGTATTATTTTTATTTTCATCAATAAATTTAATTTAATGATAATACAACAGAAAAGTAACCACAGCCATAAAATAATGAATAAACCACAAATTGAGATTAAAGCTATGGCCGTAAAGGTGTTGGCTGAAGCTGGAGTTTATAACACCCATCCTTTATTAACACCATTAATAAACTCACTTCACGTTTAATACAGTTTATGTACATATGTAAATGTTGTTTGCTGTATAATTTTTTATATTTGCTTATTAACAAATAAAGAATTTGTGGATCATTTGCTTAGCGCTGATTTCTTTCAGAATGTTTTTACTAATGTTGTATGTTTATAAGCTTCATGTTGTTCCTCACAGATCTTTCTAATATGTTCAACTGCGAAGCTCTTTCATGACTTTTCTCTTAAATTAAAACAAATGGCAGCATTAATAATATCTTATTTACATGTGTGTTTGCAGCAGGTTACCCTCCCACTGTGGGGGTGCAGCAATCCTCCCACACTCAGGCCCAGGCTGTGCTGGGGACCTACTCACCACTGGCCTCTCATCAGTGTAGCATGGTTCAGGTAAACACAGAGCACCCAAGGGTGTCATTCTGCGTCAGTGTTGCAGTTCACAAAGTGCCTGTTCAAGCAAATTCTTAGCTCCAACTTTAACTTCCCTCCTGCAGGGGGGCGTTCCAGTGTCCTACCCCCAGACTAAAGTTGTGACCGGGGTGGGTGGGGAGGTGGGTTACTGCGTGGTGGCTCCCCCGCCGTCCCACCACAGCACCTGCCTTCCTCCCAGCTGCACCAGCCTCAGCGCTCCGGCCTGGAGTGCACAGTACTGATGACGCCTCAGAGGATGGAGCGATGATACTTGTGGTTCCTGCGTGACCTCACCGCACACACTTAACGCAAACGCCTTTTTATTTTCCGCTCTCCCCTCCCTCCCTCCCTCCCTCCCTCCCTCACCTACACGCCTTCTTCCTGACGATGCCCACAGGGCTCACTGTTCACACACACACATAAATGTACCACTGTACCAAAGCTTAATAGTATATATATCAGAGCTGCTGTATTGAATGCATTATTTATATACACAAATGGAGTTTTATAAATATATTATAAATTATATACTGTGTTTTAATGCACTGTGTGAAGAGAATAAAGTGTTATGGCTGGAGTGACACGGTCGTCCTGGCTCTTCATGTTCATGTTCATGTTAGTGGGGGTGGATGCAGCCATGATGAGACACATACATCAGGACAGAAAGTGCTTCATACACTCAGAACATCAAATAGAAACGTGGTGGTGGTTTGAGCACAGTGGGGAAGCACAGATAAGGTTGTTAGCCTACCACTGAGATCACTAATGGGAGATGAATGTCACTGCATTAAGATGAGAATAACTAACGAGCACGTGAAACATTTTTGCGTTGATGTGGTTGATCATCGTGGGCGTTTGGTTTCATGGTATGTGTTGGTTTATTTAGGAAATACGAGACTTTCACACAAAACGATTGTGATGACGTTCAGGCTCAAGTCAACATGACATGTGTGACATTTTATAAAAATAGCAAAGAACCTTTCCAGTTACCATCCCAGATTAAGCTGCGGGAGGATTTCTATTTCGAGACTTGAGCGCCCCCTCCTGTTCTAACACTCTCTGTGCACCATCCTCACATGTATGTAAAGGAAAACAGGTACAGTGATGTTACCAGTTCATTTACTCATCTTACTGAATAACTACAGCACTAGAGTGTTTTTCATCTCAGCTTCTGTTGTTATTTAATCTGCTAATTAGCTCATCATTAAACGATTAATCAAATATTGAATCCAGAAAATAGTGCACAGTTGCTCAAATTATTAGCGTTGTCCTAAAAGAACCGAATGATTTCTTAATTTGTTATTTTTTATGTTCAATTTTCACAAATTTAGAAGCTGGAATAAGTTCAACTTTGCCAGTTTTTTATCCAAATATTCGTAAACGATTGATTAACAGATCAGCTATTTTTTGTTGATACAATTTGACAAATAATTTCTGATTCAGTCTGAAAAAAACTGTGTTTTTTCAGCGCAGACAATTTGACTTGTATGTGATATTATTCATTATTTATCATGATTTATTTCTTTGTGCTTTTTCTAATGTCACAAATATAAATGTTAAGTCAAAGAAACGGATCAGCTTCCAACTAAAACAGCTCCAAACTAAATGAGGCTTTACTTATGTACAGAATCACCTCATCATTTAATTGACTCATCTTCAACCGACGTGTTACATCACAGCGATAAAGCGACTTTCACTTCCATGTGAACATTAACTGATGAGCCGACATGTTATTGTTCAGATGCTGCGTAATTCATTTTGTCCTGAACCTGATTCATATTCTCTCCCCATCAAATTCAATAAAACATATCCATCATCCAATCACGGCTTCAAAATTTAATTTGGGCTTCATGACCACCGTATTGAATGCATAATTAATAACCGAGCAACGGTTTCACAAAGCCAGCTCTATTTCTGTCCTTCCCACACAGACGCACAGACACAAACACACAGACTTGAGCAGCAGCAGTGCAGGTTCCATGATCTTTAATAAAAGGCACATGTACAGCCATAGTGAGATGAGTGAGTCCACTGGCATAGAGACGAAGCATTAAAACACAGAAATACAGGAAGTAGAGGTCAGGAGGAGGAGCTCTATCTGCTTTACAGTAGAATCTACGTAAGTAACATCTTCTCGTTCTTGTTCAAGTAAGTCTAACACTAATATGTTGCTGTGTTAAGGTAAAACTCCCCACCCCCATCACACACACACACACCATCCATCACCACCCAATGTCTGGTCTTCCGGAAAAGTCCTGGTCGTCGAGCTCTGAGCACACATGGATGTCCAGATCACCCTGAGACTCAGCGCTCACAGTTTGGGTTTTTACTCCTTTGCTGTTGCTGACTCGTCCCTGTGGTCGGATCAGTCTGTTCAGGAGTGAAAGTAGCATTTTGAGCTCCTGTTGTCCTCAGGTTTCCATCAGCTTCATTATATTTCACACAAAGACCCAGAATCCAACTGGTGCTCTCATACTGGAAAACTACCAGGCCCCAGGTTTTCTGTGTGTCTCAAAGTTTGTGGTGATTTTAATGAAACACAATTTTATGAAAAATGCATCAAAACAGTGGGTTTCCCCTGATTTTTAACACCTGGAGTTTTGGATGATTGTTCAAATAAAGTCAAAATGATAAAAGGGCATGATGGGAAGAAATCATATATATATGATTGGGTCATAGAGAAAAAAAAATACAGGGGCGCCCACGCTACCAGGTGAGCTAGCGCATATGGAGGCTTGAGTTGTCCTGCAGTGGCTGCGCGTTAGGTTCCAACATCCCTTTGATGCGTGTCTTCACCATTTCACGCTCGTACTGTCCAATTAATAAATGCCCAAAAAATATTTAAAATAAAAATGAAACAACTGTTGAGCACATTTTGTGTAAGCACCATAATATCTGCTAAAATAATCATAGTGGACATAGATTTTGAAACAGCCATAAAATTACAGTATAATGTTGCAATGGGGCAAATTCCCAAACAATAAGCCAGAAATGAAATAACCAGTAATCTGGGTCTACCTTGATTAGTTCCTCAAAATAAAAAAACAGCATTGTGATATCAGCACTGTTCTGATAATGGATTAATCATTTCAGTCACTTTTAAAAATGCCAAACACTAGCTAGTTCCAGGTTTTCAAATGTGAGAAGCTGCTGCTTGTTAAATAAAATATCTTTTGGTTTTGGAATTTTGTTTGTTGGAAAACGTTATGCGGTGATGATTTTATCCAATAAACAATTAATCCATAATTAAAATAGTTGCAGTTGTACAACGGACACACAGTGAACCTGGGGCCCCCGAAGGTCCGTTCCAGTCTCGATGGTCCTGTACTTTAAGGATTGTACTGTGTTTAACACACTCACGTTACACAGGCAGTCGTCCACACGCTACAACCCATCTTAAAAGAAAAAAGTTCACAGGTACTTAAATATTTCAGGGTTAAGAGAAAAAAAAGATATTAGTGTCGAAGGTTATATATAACCACAGCTGGAGGAATAAGTTGAAGAACTAAAATATGCATGCAGCCAGGCCAAGTCTCCTCTTGTTGAAAGGTAAAAGAAGGTTGAAGTGGGATGCTGACGCCTTTCGTCTGCTCTGGCCAAGTCTGAGAGCGTCTGCCGAAACAGGAAGTGACGAAACCGTGAAGAGCTGGGGGGGGGAGTACACACACACACACACACACACACACACACACAAGCACACAATCATGCTCTCGAAACCCCTTCACATGTCTTCAGAACAGCTGATTAGAGTCAGACGCTCATTTCACATTATCACACGTGTTTGGGACATTTGAACATGCAAAGCAGTCCGTCACACAACTCTGTGTGTCTCACTCACTCACTCACTCACTCACACACACACACACACACACAAATACACAAGTGCAACAACTGCACCCAGCGAGTCCTGCTTTGGTTGGTGTGTGTGCTACCTTTGGCTGCGGGTGTCACAGGGTGAAAGGTCACACAAAGCCTGACCTCAGAGAGCCTCCTCAAGGTACACACCAACCGTCTCACAACGCCGCCTCCCCCCCCGCTCGCTGACCCCCCAACAACCCCAACACCTGTGCCCCACCATCCAATATCAATGCCCACCCATCTCCATAGCAACGCACAGCTCCCCCCAAACAAGGGGTCTCACTATCTTGTAAAAGGAGGTAAGTGTAATTAGTGGCGTGTGTGTGTATGTGTGTGTACATATATATGTAAATGTGTGTGGAAGCGTGTGTACCCTGCGTGATTGTGTGTGTGTGTGTGTGTGTGTGTCTGTGTGTGTGTGTGTGTGTGTGTAGGTGTTAAGAGGTATCAGTGGTTCAGTGGTGTCTCTCTTGTGTCTTCATCACATCCTCTCTCTACCCCTCGTCCTATGTCACCATCCTTCTTCCTCGTCCTTTCCATCTTCCTCCTCCTCTTTTTCTTCCTCCTCCTCCTCCTCCTCCTCCTCTTCTTCTTCCCTCACTCTTTTATTTTTGGACTTGGAAGATGAACAGGCGCAGGTTGATGTTTTTGGCGGCCAGCAGTTTGTTGCACTCCACCGAATCAGAGATGGGCAGAGGGACATAGTCGGTCTCATTGGTGTCGTTGCTGAAGGAGTGGTGGTGGATGACGGGCTTGATCCGCACGTCGTCGTACGGCCCCTTCAGCAGCAGGAAGGAGCACTCCAGAGCAGAATTCACCTGCACATACAGAAACACCTTGTATCAGCCACAACATTTTCTCAACAGAACTGAAGTTTTGACACTGTCTGGATAGGAGATCAGATGGGAGTCCAGTTTTTACCAATAAACACAAAATAATCTTTTCATGACAGTTTCCTCATTTTATTATTTGACTATTCTGACATAGATCTCGGCTGAAACTAAAGCCATGGGAATGAACTGTTTGAGCTCTTCTTCTGACTCACATTTTCCTTTCCACACCCAAATTCCACCTCATTAGAATTCTAATTAACGTATCTGCTACTCAAGGTTTTTCTGTTGTTGCTGGGACAAATTACCATGGCAACATAAAAGAAAGATGGCATCACTGGCAGCAGCAGTGTCTTGATATTTTTTTAAATGTAGCATAGAGGCTTTAAATTCATGTGTCACTGAACATTTTCCATTCACATCATTCATCAATTGTGTGTCATCTGGTTTGGTCGTCTGGTTTGGTCACTTGTGTGACTGTTCCTCTCGCCGCTCTCCTGTAGCTCCACCTTGATTCTACCAATCAGTCCTCAATGAGTATCACCTGACCTGAGAGGTCATGACCAGGACAAGCTCCTGTGTCAGGGTCAGAGGAGGAGGCTTCCAGTGTGGGCACTTGTGGTTCTGCTTTATCATTGTGTTTGTCTCTTAATGTTAACAAATCCCATGGTTTGGGTTATTCTAAAGGTTTTCTGTTGTTGATTAGGGTCAGTGACTTTACGTGTTTTACACCCCAAACACGGGGTGCATCAATCAGGAGCTCGTCCCGGACAGGAAATCGATGAAGTCAGGTAAATGTTTGTGTATCTTTGTCTCTAATGACCGTTGTTATGCTTTTGACTGGGTGCTGGGTTCCTTAATGGGGATTGAGAGCATCCTAATTATGTAGCTATTGTCTCATAATTTAAATGTTCCTGCAATCATTTGATAGTACTCAACAATACATTTCTACATAAATGTAATTTTTTAAGAACTGCCCTGAAATGCAGTATATTTTTTGAAAGAACTGTCACCTTTTATTTATATTCTTTGAATCTGATCAAAACTGGAAAAGCCTTAATGTATCAGTTTATTAGTCCACTTTTGAATGTCTCACTTGTGATTGTGCATTTATATGTATATTTAGATTTTGCCTTGTCTTGTGGTGTTAATGGTTTTGCCTGTTGAATTTGTATTTTGCAATAAAAAGAGAAATTATGTAAAAACCATCTGTCAAACTTGAGTCTCTCCACTTATTATTTTGGAGGTATATCTGTTCACCTATGTGGGTAGATGTAGTAACAATTGTCCTCCTCATGGTGGTAACCATTTTGTGTCAAGTGGGAGTGGCACCCAGTTGTATGACTACCTGTGTGTTGGTGCCTCATTTTCAATCCAGCAGCAGCAAATTAGTTGGTCCTCTTGTGTGTTGTGATCTTGTTTGTGCCACCCTTTCACGTATCCTTTTTCAGCAGCAGTTCCCATTTTTTGCTGTAAATATGTTTAATTTATACCTACATACGTTCAGTTAGAATTGCTCCACATGCTTATAAAAACTAGTAGTGCTATTTTATTAGAGTTTTGCTGACAGCTTCTGTTTTGTACATCAGGCTGACTTGTTAAAATACAGCCTCAGTAATTATTTGCAATAGTAAAATAACTGCAATTAATAAATAGAATGTTCTTTGTCACTGAAGCTTAATAAAACTATTGATTGTTTCAGGGGGTGGGGGTGTATGTGTTCCTGTCCTTTGACCCTGTTCCTCTCTTGTCTCTCCTGTAGCGACACTCTGATTCTAACAGTCATCAATGAGGTACACTTGACCAGGGAATTGAGGTTCTTTTTAAAAGGTTCTGTACCAGGAACAGAAGAGGATGCTTCTAGCATGGGGACTGCTTCCAAGGTTGTTTACTTTCTTTTAATTAAAAAAAAAAGAAAAAGTAATCTATCATTGATTCAGGTAAAGTGTTTTTTGTATTGTACACCCATAGGGCCGCTCAACTGCAGGAGAAACAATTTGAATTCTGCAGCTTGCATTGATTGCTGCTGACTTCTGTGAACTATGCAGATAATGATCACTTTGTAAGCTATCAGATCAGCTCCAAACTTTTATTAGACACTGGTGGACAGTGACTCATCTTAAGCCCTGAAAAGGAGCAATGAAAACTTTAAAAATAAAGACAGACAGACTGGTGATGCATGTACCTTGCTCTTGAGGATGAGCTGGAAGGAGAGGGTGCGCTTGCAGGAGAGGTTGGGGTTGCGCTCGGAGTCGTTAACGCGGGCCTTCAGCACCCACGTCTGGTTGAGAACAGTGAAGCGGGGTGTCTCATAGTACAGGCGGGTGATGAAGTCATCAGTGCGGTACGGCCTGAACTGCACTTCTGGATGGACACAGAAGTGGAAAACAAGTTTTGGAACAGTGAGAAGTGTCATGAGTGGGAGGAAAGAATAAAAAGAGTAAGGAAGTGAAATGAATCATACAGTAACTTGTCTTTCTATTTATCTCCCCTAAAGTTCACAATCATTTTGCCGCACTCGCTTCAGCTCTATTGTGTTTGTACCTGTAAACCCGATCTTTTCGTAGCACAGCAGGCTAAAGATGGTGTTGTAGAGCTGCATGTCTCTGCGGTGGTTCTGGTCCATCTCTCCCAGGATTCCCATCAGCTCTGTGCCAGTCTTAGTGGGATGGGAGCACTCGCCCTCATGTGCCGGCAGCTCGTGGAACGGACCTTGCCAAGGGCAGCCGATCCTCTTGTACTTACACTGTGTCACCCTGGAAACATGGAGGTGAGAGGACAAACTGGGTGGAAGGAACAACATGACTTTGTATAAATGAGTTTCTTCACAGAGGTGCTTTGTGATAAAGACATGCTACTTTTATGTGGAATGTACTGATATCAAAGGTGGCTAATTAACAGTGTTTTTATTTGGATTCAATACTTTGATAGATTTTTGTAAAATACCTGTAGTCACTTATGGTAGTTTCTCTAAATTAAATATTTCCAAGTTTCATATTAAGTCTTGCATTTTAAAGAAGTGATGGTCTTATTCCTGAAGAAAGCAGAATGACATTTACATCAGAGGCAGCCAGAATTCTCACAGGAGACCAGCAGCACATTTATTTTTCTGCCTGACCTGAACAAAAACACCTGGTGACTGCCATGGTTGTTGTCATGGCAACACCAGCACTGGCGCTGCTGTCCTACAAGGGGTCACCTGTTTCTATAGCAACAACCCCCTAGGATTTCCTGCACGCAAATTGAAACAGCCAAAGCATCACAGGCAACAAACGCATGCAGTCAGTAATCACATCAGCTGTTTCATCCGCTTTAATTTCTCCTCCAAAGTCACACACTTCCCTTTGAATCTTCCACAAAATTAACCTCATGTGACAGGCAGAGGTGCTGATCGGAAACCCACACTGATCCATGTACAGTCATTTTGTTTTCACTGTGTTAGAGTGCACAGCTTCCATTTACATGTTTCTGTTTCACTTCTGAAATCAGTCGATGTTAAGAGTTAGAATCTACTTCTTTTTTTTATCCATGCACATGTGACATCACATACATGCAGACATTCAAAGTGCAATATAAAAACAAAACCAAGAAAACAGTGTGGTAAAACATCAAATGGCAGTTGTAAATAACCTTCACGATGTGCTTCAATTCATAAAGACTCATGGTCATGAAGTCCAAGATTAGTTTTTCCAAAAATAGAAGTATTTGTTTCTTTGCTATTTTTTTCTAATAATTAACAGTGTGAATTTTTTGTCTATTTGAAAACTGGGCATATCATTGAGCAAGTAACGGCAAGGGTCCAATTCTATTTCCAATAAGGATTTAGTGATAGAATGAATAAACTTTCTGAAATTATATTACAGGGGACACTGCTGGAACAGACTCAAATGTTCCTTCTTCTGTTATACAATTCAATTTGATAGTTTTGACACATTTGTGCGAAAACAGTGAATTTTGAGACACCTTTTCATCCTTATAATATGATGGTAACAGAAGTTTGGCAGATTTCTGAAATTGGGAATAAATTAGATTTTCAATGAATCTGGGGGTTTGTGTGTCAGTGTGTGGTGCATACCTGTCTTGACACTCCTCTTTCTGGTGTCTCTCTAGGCTGGAGCGGGGGAATTGTTTTAGGCAGAAGGTACATTCTGTCGGCAGCTCACTGACAGCCTTCTCCACAGCCAGGTTCCTGCAGCACAGGTTCTTGCTGATCTCACACCTACACAAACAATAGAAAACCACAAATCATACCTCAGCGAGTGCAGCAACGTCTAGGTAGTATTTGTGGTATGTTCAGTATGTATCGCAAGTATATGAACAATGCACAACCATAAGGAAATTATGCTTTTGTCAATTGTTTGTGAAATTTCAGCATTTACTGTAAAATGAGGCAGAGTTACTACAGTTATGTTGGACAATTGTCAGTGTTATTTGTTACATCAGGTAAAACCACTTGCATTATGTACATACCTGTAGCATTACAGTGAAATGTAAGTAATGCAAGTGTGTTTAAATGATGCAAATTTGATTGTGAAGGTGGCTTTAGGTGTCACAAAACAGGAAATCAATGCATTTTTATCTTTACTTCTGGAGATCACATCATTTATTACAATATATATATATTGCAACATATGAATGTCATAGTTCTACTGCAGAACATTAAAATCAATGGTATTTAATTTGACATGATGTATATCTGTTATTTTGCTGCAAAAGCAATTGCTAAAATGCTATAGTATGTGGACAGTACAAATGTCTTAAAACACTCTCCTGGAAATGATCAGAATGCATACAATTAAAATATTGATATTTTGATTAACAACTAAACAACAATATCTCTACAGATCCACTCTTGAGACTATGATCATTAACTTTAGTTACCAAGATGCACTCTGTCATGCTCTGTATCTACAATGAAGTCCTGTCTGCCCTGCTCAGGAAGTGCTTGTGTCTACAGGGAACTTGGTTTACCTGCAGTTGGGACACGTGGCCTGTTCCTCCTTGAGACGAGAATCAGCCAAGAGGTGGATAAAACATCCTGCACACATCAGGTGACCATTGGTACACTGGTGGTGGAGAAAAGGTTGACAGGTCAATAAAATGTGTGATTTAAGTGAAAACATAATTACTGAGTTTTATTTATTTTTTATTGGGTAGGCATAGGTTCTGCGGCTAAAATATCTGAGCAAGGTTGCAAAAAACTACGTTGGAAAATTGAAAGGAATTTGTAACATTTGTTACGGGGGTGCCTGTATTCAGATTTTTGGGGGACTGCATGAAAGATATTTTGGGAAAATGTTTATAAAGAAACAGGAACTCTAATCAAAACACATTATTTGTTGATAATGTTATTTCCATTGATTTCTGTTTTTGATTTAATTTAAGTTATATCAATGGACTAGATTAAGTCGCCTGATAATAATTGGGCAAAAACAAAACTTAATATGTACTTCCTAATGGGGAGATATGTATAAGTTTGTACTTTTCTCTGTAAATAATGGCCAATGTCTGGGGGTTTTATGTGCCTGATGTTATTATGATTGTACAATAAGTTTTTACACAAGTGTCTGTTTACAGTAGAATATTGTGTATGGGAAGAATATCAAGTTGTATTTACAATGTACTGTTAATAACTGTTAAATAACTATAATGTATGTGTTACATGGCAAAATAATAGTGAAACTAACTGAACAATCATTAATTACAAGTGTTTTTGCTTGAAGTTGAAAACACAGTTTGAGGGTAGTGGGGTGGGTTGAAGGACAGGGGCAGATATAACTGCATTCGATATTTGCTCAACCCTACATGTCTGTGTTCTGGGAGTGGGGGGCTGGGAGTGTGGTTTTGGCTGAGGTTCATTTGAGGATAATTCACAGTATAATGTTATGAACTGGAGCCTGCACAGCTGACCACCAGGGCCTGGGTGTGTCTGGTCTCAACCTCATGGCTCAGTTTACAGAAGACACTTGGGCCTGTGTTGGATCTAGTATCACTAAAAATACATGGAGTTGGCCAACACATTCAACAGGTTGACTCTTGGGGGGGGGGGTTGGGAGACATTCAGGGTCTTCTAGTGTGATATCCAGCTGGTTTGCTGTTTTAGGGGTAATGAGTGGGGGGTTGGTTTATGATTGACACCTTGTTTACCTGGTATACAGACGCCTTGGGCAAGTCTAGGCACACGGTGCAGCACAGCACTGAGTACAGTCTCTCCTCCAGCTTCCCTGACTCTCCCTCGGGCACTCTCACCCTCTTCTTGGGTGGCTCGTCCGGGTCAGGCTCGGGCCCATCTCGTCTTATGCCGACCTCCTCCTGCATGGCAGCGACCCCGGCGACAGCCTCCACCGCTGCCCCCACGGCCCCGACCCCCAGGCCTCCCGAGGAGGAGCCAGGGGCGGCCGCAACGCCCACGTCCCTCTCTTCCAGCGAAGACATGGCGACGGCTGTCTCGAAAATGTCCGGGGTGAACCTGCCGCGGCCACGCTGAGCCCGAAATATTAGCAGGTTAGCTCGGGACTAGCTTGCAGCCTGTCAAGCTAACGGTCAGCTGACAGCTATGCTAGCGTTAGCCGGGCTAACGCTACGGCGGCAGGCTGTCAGAGAGGAATGCGGGCAAACTTATTATTAATGCCGCCGCACACCGAGGAAGTTGAATATGCTTAACAAGCGAATGACCGTGTAATAACGAGAGCACGAGTGAATTAATGATAAATGTCGACCAGTAGTTGTTGACTTACAGTGAGGCTAGCAGACTGTGCGCTAGCTACGTTGACACAAACACAGCAGTCCTCTCGGGCAGAACAAAAACAACTCGGGCGTCCCTCAGCTGCTGTTGAGCTCTCGACGCCGTTAATCGCACTGACAGCAGATTACAGCCTCGCACCGCCGCGGCCCAGCTCGGCTGCTCGTCTACCGTCCCCGGTCCGGTACCCGCAGACTGTCCACGGCACCCACGGGACCTGTCGGCGATTCAGATCCGCGGCTGGAGACAGTTCTGTTGGAACTCGTCTCTCCGGCTACACAGCCATCTTTGTTTTTTTTTTTTTTTTGGGTGTTTTTTCCCCTTCCCTGTCCTTCTCCCCCGACTTCACCCCGCTCAGCCGCTTACCACTCCGGGTCAAATTCGCTACAGCTCGTGCAGGTTCTGACGCTGCGTGTTTAAAAGTGAATCTCTATCCTGCATGTGTCTGGCGGCCCCTCTGTGTTGCTCCAGCAGTGAACTGGCTGACAGCGGAATGTTTTGTTGTGGCAGATGACTTGGGGTATTTAAAGAGTTTTGAACTGCGCATGCGCACTGAGCACCTGCGGGTCAGTGTGTGGCAGCTCTCGAGAGGTGACCAGAACCTGATATGCGACAAATGTAGGCCCCTCCACTGCAAGGACGCCTTGTTTTATACTTCTACAGTGTGTGTTGGCCACATCTGTGTGTTATTACACATTAGTCACACTCTGACAACTTTAAACAAATACTTCACAGCAGAAACCACCCTGTCTCTACAGCAAAGTGGTTCAACTGGTTGTGGTGGTCTCTGTTTGTGTGTCTGTGTTAAAATGAGTTCATTTATTGCGGTGATCGAAGGAAACCTTAAGTGCCCTTGATACCCATAAATGTTTATAAGCCTTTCCATCCCTGCTCTGCCCCAGTCAGATATGTGGTTCAGCAGCCTCAAGGGCAGGGAGGGGTGCCTGTGCATACAGGATGGGGGGTTGTGAGTGTACTGGGGGCAGGATGTCATGAGTTTCAGCTGTCTGCGATCGGGTGGGACAGGACTAACCACTCCCATTGGACGGACAGATATGCCTTATTTGGTGTGCGAGGAATGGCAAAGGAGCCATACCACCCTCAGCTATGCACACACAGGTTACACAGGAGCTCTGTGTGGTCACACACTGTGTCCTGAATGCTGAGCAGCTTCCATTATTTACCACTGGAACTAAACACAGATTACATTCTCAGAATATTAACACAGGACACTAATTTGCAGGTTGTTTGTCATCACACAGTTAACAGAAAGCAGTGGTGTGTTACAGGCCTTTTGAGAAATAAAAACGTAATACATACACTTCACTGTTGTGAATATGGCAAAGTTTTACTATAAGCAAAATAAAGTTATCTTTAGCTTATAAACACGTAGTACACCAATGTTGCTAGTTAAATGACACACAAACTTCTAGGAATGGACTATAGGGCAGGTCAGTGTTGTCACACTTGCAATCAAAAATAGCTACGGCAGGAACATGATATCATCTTCTCAAAGGTAAACATGGTTGGCCGGGATAGATAGATAGATGGTCGACCAAAACAAAAACACTCCAGCCATGTGCTAAAACATCTTCACATGAATACACAACAGCATTAGCAACTACAACAATATATCAGATGATCAAGTGTATTCCAGTATTCTGTGTACCATCCTCCTCTATATGCACACCTCGGTCATCACACATCTCATGATCAATTTACGACTAGTCGGGGTAAATGGATTACACACATTTATGAATGTGTGTAATCCATCCGTGAATCAGGTGCTATTCAATCACCAGAGAGCACATCACATTATCTATGGGGCCATTCAAGGACTCAGCTGCCAAGAAATCAGCTGCATTGTCTGTAACAATGAAAGTGAAGACCCTGATTTAATCACACAGTTAAACAGGAGATTGACAGTCAGGTCAGGACAGTGTGTAGGTGAGTGGATGATGGTGGTGTGAGGTCTCTGCTCATCACGGTGATGAAGATGAGGAAGCTGTTGGTTTGGAGGCTGGGTGGTGTTATGGTGAATCTGGGGGGGTTTGCAGCTGGCTGTTTTCTTTTGACTGTGTCTTAATCTGATCTAGAAGTTCAGTTTGGCCTGCAGGGGCACCAAGACGACTGAGTTCGACTCCTGGGCTGATTGGGCTTTCTGTTTCGCAGCCTGAGTTTGACACCAGGGGGCCTGGAGCTTGTATTTCTCGCCTGCTGGGCTCCCTGCTGGGTGTAGAGGTGCTGTCAGGTTTCTGTTGACGAGGTGTGTCCTTAGTCTTTGTGTCTACTTTAAACTGTGTAGATATGGTGTGAACTGCACTTGTCTCTGTTGATTGTTTGTCCTCATCCTGCCCTCTCGCTGACTTCATCTCAGTTTGTCTGCCATCAGTTCTGCTGAGCTCTCTGTGTGTCATTTCTCTCTCTCTGCCTCTGACTCCTGATCTTTTGTCTGTTGTTGTTTCGGTTGCTTTGGTCTGAGCTGCTCTTTGAACTCTCTCTGATTCTGCACCAGTGTCTGCGGTGTTCCTCTGTGTTTTGTCTGAGAGCGCCCCCTGGCTGTAAACGGAAGCCATAGCATCCACCCAGGGATGCAGCAGGGTCTGCTCAGCTGTCAGCCTCACTGTGGGATCTGGCTGAAGCAGAGCTCTGACGAGGCCTCTGGCTTCTGCACGCAAACAAACATTCACACAGGTTAGCAAACAAAAATAGATTGTGTATTTATGTGATTGTATGTTTAGGCATTTGCATCACTACATTTCTGTAATTCTCACCCTCTGAGATGGGGTCCCAGTAGGGTGACAGGAAGTGTAGTTCCCCCTGTTTTATTAGCTGGAACAACTCTTCCTGGTCCCGATCCCGACTGCGAAATGGGGGGAAGCCACACAGCAGGATGTAGAGGATAACACCCAGAGCCCACACGTCCACGGCTACACCATAACCTGTTGGGGCAATCATAAACAACTCTTTTCAGAATAAAAGCATACTTAAGTGACAAAATAACTTTTGGAGAGTTAAACAAGAAAAATACACATAAACATGTGACAAAGACACATTTGTAGTATTTGATTCTGCAGCAACAGCACTAACCTGTCTCAAAGAGAATCTCTGGGGCTACATATGTCGGCGTTCCACATATGGTGAAGACTGGTTCAGTTACAACCATAGCAAGACCAAAGTCTCCCAGCTTCAGCCTGCAGATGCCACCTGCCAAACGCTCTATCTGAGAAATAACAGGAAACGGAGGCAGAGTCGAGATTTCAAAACACATAGTTGTTAGAGAATCTTATGTTTCTGACAATTTCTTTTAGATTTTGCAGAATTCTGATGTTTCTTTATTTCAATAAGTAATACTGTTATACATTATTTGATTTAATCCGTTTTACTACACTAGATAATGATGCCACAGTCTGGGAGAGTGTGGTAATGAAAGTCAGAGAGTGAGGGAACCATGAGATTAGAACAAGTTAAAGATGAATACTCGCTGATTCCCTTTTCTCAGGCCCCTTAAGTGTATATTTCTACAACTACAGGGTCTATATGAATATCATATAATAGTGATACTTGTGAGAGTTCTGCAGTATAGCTGTTGTTGGATCAGAGTAAATGAAGATGGAACTCAAATTGGCTACCAATCATCTTGTTTCAAAAATATTAAAGGTACTATGTTAAGGATTTTACATGTTGTCCTCTGGCTCCCCCTACTGAGCATATAAAAATAGACACTGGCAGATAGCAAACCAGGAGACCTAGATCAACACTCAAGCTGATGGCATTAATTTTACTTAATAGGCACTGAACCTGATACCCACCAGCAGGTTTTCTGGTTTGAGGTCTCGGTGGACAATGCTCTTGCCGTGGATGTAGTTTAAAGCGTCACTCATGTCTGACACCATCAGTCCTGCCTCTGCCTCGGAAAACTTCCCCCGCTCGCTGATGGCCTCAAACAGATCCCCCCCGCTCACCAGCTCCATCACCAGGTACGAGTGGGTGTGCGTGTGGTGGTTAGCGAACAGATGCACTATGCATCTGTGACACAGGCTGCCAAGGAGGCTCAGCTCGTTCTGCATCATGTGCTCCCGACCGATCAGCTTGGAGCGTTCCACTATCTTCATGGCGAGGGTTTGCCCGGTGTCGCGACGGCGGCACTCTCGCACCACAGCAAAGTTCCCATCTCCAACCACACGTCCTATCTCGTAGCAACGCTCAATATCTGACAGGGTGACGTCGCTGCCGTCTGAAGAAAGGTCAAAGGTTGTTGTCTGCTGTGAGTCTTTTTGTGCTGGGCCCACATCGGGAAGTGGTTTTAAAAGGTGTGACGGTGCCAGACTCTTCTCCTCCTCCCTGTTGATTGGTTGAGGAGGTGGAGGGCTGAGAGGAACATCCACCTTTCTCACCTCTTGTTCTATATGAGAACTATTTTTTTGCTTTCTTGACACCGGAGGAAGTGGGACCCTTCCTGACAGGGGATTGACCCATTCAGTCCCCTGATGTTTCGCTCTTATCGCTAAGCAGTTCTCACACAGTGTAGGGGAGGGTATTTCTGCTTCTCTGAGACCCTCCTCCTGTTTAAATGGACCAATGATGGAAGGCTGTCGCTCTCGGACCCTGCCCCTCACATATAGCCTCTGCAGGTGGTTTGGAAGGTGAGGTGGTTTTCTGCAAGAACTCTTTTTGTTAGACTTCTGGACATCTGGGTGATAATTGTCATGGTGTTGTGCGTCTATATTGTGATGTTTGTGTGTATTATGATTTTTGATATGTGTATTTGTGTCCTGTTGTGTCTCTTGGTTTGTGTTGCTGCTCTCTGCCCCCTCGCTGTATCCACTGTCAGCCTTAGCAGCTTTGTCTGGCGCTGGGATAAGTCTTTTCTCCCAGGCCCGCAGTGCGTCAGCTCGGTAATGGGAATGATCCGGAAAGAGCTCCTCCAGAGCCTCCTGCACGCTGCTCAGCTCTGGACGTGCCTTACCCAGTGCCAGGAAGGCCACCTCTCCTCGAAAGAAGTCACACACACCTTTCACCTACGAAAATAAAAGAGAAAGACACGTCAACAGGATGGGGCGACACTTTATTTGGACAACAAGATGATTACATAAGAGCCCACCATGTTTAGAATAAACTGCTTCATGAATTTTCACTTTTTTTGGCTTTTTATTGTAATTATTTAAAGGTCCAGTGTGTAAGATTGAGGTGAAATGTATGTTTTGGCAATAATTTAATATAAAAGTTAATGTTTTAACTAGTGTTTTTCATCTAAATTGTTCAAATTGTTGTTTTCTTTACTCTAGAATGGACCCTTTTTATTGGGAGTGGGTCCTCTCAACTGTGTTTTGAGTTTTTATGACTGAAAGCTACAACAGGTTGTCTTTCATGTTTTGAAGGGGAGGGTGAGGTGAGGTGTATTCAGCTGCAACGTTCAACTCCACTCACTAAATTCTACACACTGACCCACTAAGTAAAGAAATAACCCAGACCCCAAAGTTTTATTGTGCCCTATGGGAAGTTTAGCTGTTG